TTCTAATTTTCTTTCCTAAACCCCATTTTTTCCCCATTTTCCCTCCTCAACCCCATTTTCCCCCCATTTTCTCCCCATTTTCCCTCTAATTCCCATTTTCCTTCCTAAATCCCCTTTTTTTCCTCTCGTTTTCTTTCCCCAACCCCATTTTCCTTCCTAAATCCCATTTTCTCCCCCATTTTCCCTCCTAAATCCCATTTTCTCCCTGTTTTCTTCCCTCATTTTCCCTCTAAACCCCATTTTTCCCCCCATTTTCCTTTCTAAATCCCATTTTTTCCCCCATTTTTACTCCTCAACCCCATTATTTTCCCTCTAAACCCCATTTTTCCCATTTTCTCCCCCATTTTCCCTCCTAAATCCCTTTTTTTTCCTGGTTTTCTTTCCTCAACCCCATTTCCTTCCTAAATCCCATTTTTTTGTCCATTTTCCCTCTTCAACCCTTTCTCCTCTCATTTTCTGCCCTAAATTCCTTTTTCTTTCCTGTTTTTGTTCCTAAATCTCATTTTTTTCCCCATTTTCCTTCCTAAATCCCATTTTTCCCCTTTTGCTCCCCATTATTTCCCCTCTAAATCCCACTTTTCCCATTTTTCCCTTTTTTTCCCCCAACAGCTCCAGCAGCAGGGGAAGCTGGAGGAGCGCCAGACCCAGAGCGGGGAGAAGGTGAGCGGGCCCACCCCATCCCAAATCCCCCAAAAATCCCCCAAAAATCCCCAAAAATCCCCCAAATCCCAGGAATTTCCCCTTTTGACCCCATTTCCCCTTTTCCAGACCCTAAAATTCCTGCGGGGCTGTCGCCTCGAGGTGGGGATGAAGAACAACGTCCAGTGGGAGCTCAACCCCGAGATCGTGGCCCGGCACTTCCTCAAGAACGTGAGCGGGGTTTTGGGGTTTTTGTGGGTTTTTGGGATTCCTGGAGCTGCAATGGGGTCAAATCCTGAGATTTGGGGTCATTCCCAAAGGGTTTCAGGGGCTCTGTTCCCAGGTTTTGCGATTGTTCCTGGGTTTTGGGATTGTTCCCTGGTTTTCGGGTCAAATCTCAGGATTTGGGGTCATTCCTGAAGGGTTGAGGGGGCTCTGTTCCCAGGTTTTGGGTTCAGTCCCTGGATTTGGGGTCATTTCTGGGATTTGAGGTCATTCCCAAAGGGTTTGGGGGATTTTACTCCTGAGTTTAGGGATTTTTCCTAGAATTTGGGGTCGTTCCTGGGATTTGGAGTTATTCCTGAAGGGTTTGGGGGGCTTTGCTCCCAGTTTTTGGGGACACTCCCTGGATTTGGGGTCATTCCTGGGATTTGGGGTCATTCCTGAAGGGTTTGGGGGGCTCTGCTCCCAGGTTTTGGGGTCACTCTCTCGATTTGGGGTCATTTCTGGGATTTGAGGTCACTCCCAAAGGGTTTGAGGGGCTCTGCACCCAATTTTGATATTATTCCCAGAATCTGGGGTCGTTCCTGGGATTTGGGGTCATTCCCAAAGGGTTTAGGGGGCTCTGTTCCCAGGTTTTGGGATCACTCCCTGGATTTGGGGTCATTCCTGGGATTGGGGCCTTTCCTGGGTTTGGGTTCAAATCCCAGGATTTGGGGCCATTCTCGGGATTTCGGGTCATTCCCGTGGTTGGGTTCCTCCCGGATTTTGGGGTCACTCCCAGTATTTGGGGTCTCTCAGGATTTGGGGTCACTGTCTTTGCTTCTGGTTTTGGGATTGTTCCCTGGATTTGGGGTCATTCCCAAAGGGTTTGAGGGGCTCTGTTCCTGGGTTTTGGGGTCACTCCCTGGATTTGGGGTCATTTCTGGGATTTGGGGTCATTCCTGAAGGGTTTGGGGGATTCTGTCTTTGGGGTCACTCAGGATTTGGGGTCACTGGATTTGGGGTCACTGGATTTGGGGTCCCCCCCAGGTTTTGGGGTCTCTCAGGATTTGGGATCTCTCAGGTTTTGGGGAGATTTGGGGTCCCCCCCTGGATTTGGGGTCACTGTCTTTGGGGTCACTGTTTTTGGGGTCACTCAGGATTTGGGGTCTCTCAGGATTTGGGGTCACTGTTTTTGGGGTCAC